ATATATATATATATATATATATATATATATATATACATCAATATATATATTTAACCATCAAGGGATTAATGTTTGAAACCTATTATAATCTTTATATTTTATTCATGTGGAGTGGAATTGTAGAATGATTGAAGCATAGATCTTAAGTAATTTTCAGGTTTTGATTTAGTTTAAAAACCTCATGGTTTTCCAAAATGCATGGGGATAAGGAAGAGGTTTGAACAGGTGTTGTGTTTTGTTTGTAGTGGAGACCGGGACAGTTACAACAATTTTTAGAATTGACTCTTTTATGTGAAGATGGCTTGGATTAGAGGAAAGACATTTTATACGATAAACTTACATCTTTATGTTATACCCAAAACCTTTGAAAGCAGAATAGAGTGCATTTTTTTTTAGAATTTGCATCTGAATGCATAGAGTCAGATGTTGCAACGACCCCAGACCCAGGGAGAGTTGCAGATGTTTGGTTGCAACATGTTACAACCACAATATATTGCACTGTTAATAAAATCTATATTGTAATGCTATTTTTATGTAAAAATATGTTAGAATAATTAAGTATTACTAATCAGCTTTGATTTATTGGCCTGGAGGAGTAGGCCTTCTATGCATATGTCAAAGATTAAACTGATATAGATTACAGTATATTTTTAATTGACAGGAATAATGGAAACATTAACTGTTATTTTGGCAATTATCAGCACATGCATTCATTAAGAAAAATCTACGCTTGGAAAACTGGTTTTCAGACGGAAGATATCTGTTTAACTATATAAATACAATTAATGCGCCTTTATTTGAAAGAATATAATTGTATCAAACAATATAATTGCACCATTGACAGATTTTAATACAAATATATGTATAGTTTAATATAGTTACACTACTGACTGCATCCTCCTCAGTCTATGAACATGTTTGTAAAAAGGCATGAACACAGACACATGAAAACATAAACATTCAGCTCCTGCCTTAACTGGATGGTGAAAAAGAATGAAATGCAGTATATGTAGGTAAAAACTAATGAACAAATGTTAAAGCATGTAATTAATTGATCTGTTTTATATTGATAAAACGGAGGCACAGAGATCTCACACAGGTTTTATCATAATAAACCTGGACTAGCCAGTAGATGATCTCGATACAAGCTAATCATATTAGCCAAGTGTAAACTTTTCTCTGATTTACAATATATAGGTTTGAGCTAAATCTTTACAATAGTTACAATATAAAAAAATTATCAAAATGGATAAAAAATAATTTCATACCCAAAAAAGAGTTTATTTATTTTATTACATTTTGTAGCAGCTCTTTATTCTGCTTGCCATTTCTCTGCAATGGGGGTTGGGCATCCAATTGGCCATGCTATATCACTTTGTTTTTTAATATTTGCCTCCATTTAGGCTAATTTAAACACAACATACACGACACTGAGTTTTTGTATCTTATCTCCAGCTAATTTCAATCTATCTCCATCTGTGCATTATTCCAAATAAAGTACTGAAAATGCTCTTTCTTTGCGTTTTCATAAATAAAGCTCTAAAACAATGTTTTGAATAATTTATTTTGTCACGGCTGAATAATCCAGTCCAGGTTTGACCTTTTTTTTTTTTTTTTTAACAAGGATCTTTAAATCAGATGGCAATTTAAGTGCCATTAGCCTACCAGGTGGCTTTCTTTCCTTATATAATTACACTTTCCACAACATGGGAGATGTTCACTCAGGGCTGATAAGAAAAGGAAACAATCAACGCTCTGTGAAGGAAGAAAATCACCTAAGAACCTGTGGAGTTAAATTTGATGCCTTTTCATTATAATAATCTTTGGTTTAGGGTCTTCAAATAAAATATTGATCTACTTATGGCACATCTGAAAGAGAACTTTTTTCAACCTATGCCCTGTCATATCAAATCTTCACTGCTAAAGCTGTTAAATTATATTTGTAGTTTTTATTTGTTCATTATTTCAGAAGTTCAATTCACTAATGGAACATGTTAGTATATTTCCTTGCTTGGAGTTATTTATGTGCTATTTTAAATAAAGGAATCATTTATAGAATATTGGTTATTAACCCGTGGCCTCCTGCATCATATTCTGTTAAGGACCTCATCCAGCCTTGGACAGGAAGATGTAATGCTGCTGTCTCTTTTTTTCTCTCTCTGCAGATTGCACCGAGAAGAGCCAGAGCTCAACCCCGGCCTCCAAGCGCACGCGCACCGCGTACACGAGCGCGCAACTGGTGGAGCTGGAGAAGGAGTTCCACTTCAGCCGCTATCTGTGCAGGCCACGGCGGGTGGAGATGGCCAGCTTGCTCAACCTGAACGAGAGGCAGATCAAGATCTGGTTCCAGAACCGAAGGATGAAGCAGAAGAAAGACCAGAGAGAGCAAGGTCTCACCACAAGCACCAGCTCCTGCTCTCCCCCATCCTCCCCCTCCGCCGCCGGCAGCCCCACTTTGGCGAGTCTGGGTTATGTCCATCTTGGTGTAGATTACCAGCCGGCCTCCCCTCCTCTCAAACAACAGCGGCAGCCGCAGCAGGCTTACCCGACAGGGTTCTCCAAATACACAGCCCCGAGCTTCACGCAAGACCCGCAGTTTGATACAGCGCAATGCAACACGCAGGAAAACCCGCAAACAGCAGACTCAAACATGGGATTGGATGATCATTGCGGGTCCTACTTCTTTCAGGGCTGCGCAACTCAGGACAGAATCATGCAAGCTCCAAAACTGACTCATCTCTAAGATAAATCGCATCTGCATGCATATATAAAAAAAATAGTGTTTATAAATCATTAGAATATTTGTTTTTTTTTTTTATTAACGCATGCGTCCATCAGATTTATTTGCCCCATCTTAAGTAGTTTAGCTGAAATATAATTTGGATGCAATTTAAAATAAGTCCCGTTAAGGATTCAACTAGTCTAAATGGTTTATTTTACACTTAAATGTCTCTTAAGGACCACCTAAACTTGTGCTTAACTGTAGGGCCCGCTTAGGAGGATCATTTTACGAGACCCTCATATTATTATAACCCTTAAGCATTGTAGAAAAAGAAAAAAAAGCCACCCTATCTAGCTCGTAAACGGGTCTTTGTTTCTTTTATGGCTCAAAATGGACCAAACAAGCTGTCAGCGTTTAAAAGGAATCGTGATGGATCACTGGATTCACTGCGCTGACGGTTTCAGGGACCCTCATTCAGACAAGTCTGGCACACATAAAAATGGAGATTCGGATTCCAGAGCAGAGAAAGAAAACACCCCCCCGAAATAAACAAAGATGCAAATAAATTAAATAGTAAAATAGCAGTAAAATAAATATAATTTCTAAAAATAATGAAACAAACAAAAACGCAGCCCTATTAAAGGTGCCATATTATTATTTTTAACACTATGATTATTTATCTTTATTATAATTTCTTTCTACATTTTCTTTATTTTCGTTATAAATACTGCTTTTAATGAAAATTATTACTTTTGATGAGAAGATCCAAACTTTTTATTTTTTTATTCTTTGTTTGGAGCGCCTCTTTACAGCAGATGTGTCCTGATGTTTGTGTTCCCCTCAGATAGATGAGCAGCTTTGATTGAAGTGTTTGTCATGTTAATGCGTCCCTTTGATGGACGAGCCTGCAGACTTGACAGAGTGCTGTGGCTTTCTTGCCATTGGCGTTTGGCTGGTCACATGGTGCGGTCAGGAAGGTGATATGAGGGTGGAAGGCAGTTTGTTCTTTTTTTAAAAGCTTTGACATACTACCTAAGGTCAGGGCACAAGGAGCGACCATTAATGACGGCTCACCCCTGATCAGGTCCAAAACAAATACACCAGGCCCTGGTTACAGGATGAACTCCTACTTAGACTATCAGGTGTGCAGCCGGGGAGCAAATATATTCAGCTCCAAAGCTGGATACTCTAATTTAAATCACGGTTATTCGTCGACCAGCTCTTGCGCAACAAGTGATAGTTACGCACCGGACGCGTGTTTGGTGCCCCATCAGGGTCCGAACGTCCCTCTGCACCACCAGCCGCACGTTAATCTGGATCTACAGTTTTCGGCAGCAGGAAACCCCATGTATGGCTCAACTCTGGATTACGGACACCACCAATACGGCCTTGCCCCAGACCAGGATCGGAGCTTCATGCATGCACAGGTCTCCCCTCTCGGGACGAGCGCGGCTCCTTACCCCGGGGACGCCATCGGGCCTGGCCAGTATATGCAGTACCCGGATCAGAGGCAGCAGGAGCATCCAGAGAGTGTTTATAGGAGGCTACCACCACAATGTAAGGAGAAGGAGCAGGGAAATGTGGAGGAGGCTTCCAAAACTTTCGATTGGATGAAAGTGAAGAGGAACCCCCCTAAAACAGGTTGGATGTTTATTTATGTTTTATCCAAATGATGCGTAAATTACGCGTAAAGCACAAAGCGATGCGATTAACTCTTACGTTTTTCACATCTTACCCTCATCATCAGCTTCATCATGTTTCTCTCCATCCACCCCCCTCTCTCCTCTCCTCATCCCGCAGCCGTTCTGTCGGACTTCGGGGTTGCGGGCCAGCCCAACGCGATCCGCACCAACTTCACCACCAAGCAGCTGACGGAGCTGGAGAAGGAGTTCCACTTTAACAAGTACCTGACGCGGGCGCGGCGGGTGGAGGTGGCGGCCAGCCTGGAGCTCAACGAGACCCAGGTGAAGATCTGGTTCCAGAACCGCAGGATGAAGCAGAAGAAGCGGGAGAAACTCGGCTGCGTCCTGGTCAGCAGCAGCCCACCGGAGAAACTCTCTGAAACCCCCTCCCCGAACACTAAAGTGGAAAAACCGTGAACTGTGAAGGGACTTTAGAAAGCAGTTTTCCACATTATGTTGCAACCATTCCAGGGGAAGTTAAATACCAGGACTTGTGAATCTAACAGGGTATGACTGGATGCATCTCAGTGCTTCCTAAAAATATTGTTTTCTTGATTCCTTTATGTTTACCTCCATCATTGCTCTAAGCTGTGTTTTGTGTTGGAGCACTGATTTCCTCAGTGTCATCGTTTGCACTATTTATTTACAGGGTATTTTCCAACACTTGTTCAGATGATTTAGCTTAATAAAGATAGTCAAATATCAAGAATCATTGCAATTATTGATGATGAAAGTTCACTTTATGTTTCTAGAGTTATAAAGATAAATTCCATAATTCTATAAAAAGGATTTCTGTTGCCTCAATCAGTGCATCACATATTACAATCTACAACCAGATTTTCCTCTTTTACAATATTTATTAAATGAATCAAGACAAAGAACTCCTGCAACTTTCAGCTTTTATACCACCATTAACTTTTTTGGTTTAATAATTATCAGATAAAGGAAGCAACATATGCATAGACAACAGGATTCTTATGTGATCCCTTCCTGTTCTATTGTTTATTATCTCTTTTAGAGAATAGGATGAATTTGCTCATATCACGACTCCCTAGAACAAGAAAACCTAATCAGATCGCATTGAATCTCAAATAAACCAGAAAATGTTAGAAGCCCGATCGGCAAATCTCTAATTTGTTTGTAAATTTTGAATTTATTTGACCCCAACAATGTCAGCTTGCATAATGTGACAAGAGGAATCTTTCACAACACACAGGGTGGTTCTGAGTGACCTTTTCACCTCCAAATACCTCCAGGGACTCTAAACATGACAACAAACTCCAGGAAGCCGAGTTTGGCTCTTGATTTGTTACCCAAATTTAACGCCGCCACTTCTAACCATGGATTTATTTCTATCTGACCTGATTTATAGGAAATGTTATTTTAAAAGTCACATTCTAAATAGAAACAGCAGCTATAGCGGCTTCCAGATCCTGACCACCTTGTTTCCTCTCATCTTAAAGGGGGGGCACAGTTTCAATATTTGCTCTGGGTGATGGGTTTGCACACACACACACGGTTTCTGCCCCAACAGCACTGGCCTGTTGATGCCCTTCTTCTCCAACGCTGAGGTTCACACAGAGTTCAGGCACAAATGAATGCAGAGTCAATCTGTCAAGACGGCGGAGTGTTTCTGGCGGAGGAAACTCTCAGGCTTTTACGCTTTAGATTTTCACAGGTACTGCTTCTGATATTTAGACTCTAAAGCAGTACGAGCATTTTTTTTTTTGTGGCCGTGATCAAGAATGTGTGAACTTTAATCTATTTAACGCGCCTGGAAAGCATGCATTTAGGAAATGGAAATCAGAAATCATTTGAAACACATTTACATGAGCCTGCAGTTCTTTCACAACTGTATTAAAAATTAATAGGGTTCCTTGAATAGAACTTACAGCTAAAAGACCGCACGACCCATTACAGTAAATTAGGAGAAACGCTCAGATGTAATGTATTACTTAACTAGGCCAAAAGCCTGCTAATCAGATGAGTGGCAAAGGCTGAGGTTGTGGTGGTGTGATTTGGTCAGTACTGACAGATCCAACAACAATAACAAAAAGAAAAAAGGGGGTCGGTCCAGAAAACAAGTGTGGGATTTCTTTCCAGGGGTGTGATCCCTGCCATCTCTAGAGGTAATACCTCAACGCTCCCTGCAGGCTCTCCATCTGGAGGTGTCAAGAGTTGGTTGTGCAGCCAGCGCCGAGGAGACAGATGTTCAGCTGGGAGAAAGAAGGAGGCAAGCAGCACCGGCCTCCTTGGCTTCTCGTGGAGGACAAGGAGGAGGAGAAGACTCTAATTGAAAAGAAGATATAACTCTCCTTATAAATCATATAAAACACCCAGCACACACCTGAACAAGCAGGGCAATAATAAAAAAACAGAATCTATCTAACGATATCTTCATCCCCCCTCTCCTCCTCCTCTTCCTCTGCTCTTTGAGGTTTGAGGTCAGCCTGGTGCAGTTTGTACCCCATGCTGCTTGCAGTTGTTGCAGGCTCTTTTACAAGTCTATTGCCAGGCTCACTTCCTTGGGTTTCTACCAGTTCCTCTGTCGCATGTCACTCTGCGGGGTCCCAAAGGCTTCAAAGGGAACTGGATCCAGTATTCATGCCATAACAGGGGGGGTTTGGAGATGCCACACAGAGGTGATTTTTTTTTTATTGGCAGGTATCAATGTAAGCTTTTTTTAAGTCAAAGCCATTTGTCCCTCTGCAATAAAATGGAATAAAATCATGTGAAGTTGGATTTTGTGACTGCACCAGCCATATTTCAGAACTCCAATTTGTAGTTAATAACATCTATATGTTTGAATTAAATTAGATAATTAAACATTTGAACGTGCAGAAAACCCCCCACAGCAACACAAATAAAAGCCAGGAAACAGTGAAACAATCACTGGATAGAAACTATAATAATAATAATAATCTAATTTAAGTAATTTCCCATAAATCGTTCATTTTAAAGCTTTCTGGATGTCTTTGATCTTGAAACGTAACACTTTTCTTTGTCAATTGTGAGATTAAACTGAATATCTTTGGTTTCCAGGCTGCTGATTGGACAAAGACAAATGATGATGTCACCTCAGCGTGCTAAAAATAAAAAGTCTCCTTCTGTATTCCTATTATCTTTTGCTTGTTAAATCGCAATCTATTTAAATCGCAATCTATTGCGATCGATTAAATCGCAATCTATTTAATCCAAAATAGACTTAAACTTAACAAGAGTTTCAAGTTATTATTATTTTTTTTTTTTTACAAATTTAGCAAACTAGATATCAGTCTTCCTCTAAACTCAGTAGAAATCACAGAGAAATTAAAAGACTTGAGATCAACACCTATAACTTATTTTATAATGATGCAAAAATATTTATACTCCATTAACTTTTTACTGAATAAAGTGGGCAATTAAAGTATTAATAAGACTATCAGGGGGGTTATGTGAACAATCTGTTGATAGCAAAGGTTAAACATTCTGAAAGTGCAGCACCTATTGAAAATATAGTGGTGGCAGAATCATGCTGTGGGAATATGCTTCTTCAGCTGAGACGATAAAACTGATACGAGTTGATGGGATGAAGAAGCACATACGCAATGGCCGTGGTCAAGAACCTGGCTACACGTGTTTGAAGTTCATCTTTGTGATGAGAATCCCCAAAAAAGGCACAATAAATGATAGAAATGAAATGCACAAGAGATAAAACAATAAGACAGTTATAGAACAATTTATTTATTTTCATACTTGGATGTTTAAATCAACTCTTTACAGTTCTTTGATTTCTTCAAAGCAAACGATGAATCTGAGTTCAGATGGGCTTGGAATGGCACACTATCTTTCTCCTTTGTTTTGGCACTGGGCCTCCTTACAGCCCAGCCTGGGTGGCTACTGACAACCATCCCCCATCCGAGTCAGGCTCGATTGGATCTGGAAACGGCAGCTGATCCGAAGCTCC